TGCATCTGGAGTCCATTCCACCAGGTCAGACTGCCAATCAAGCTTTCTATTTAGAGGTTCTGAAATATTGCATAACGGTGTGTGACAAAAAGGCCTAATTTGTGGCAGACCGGGGTCTGATTTTGCTACCATGACAATGTGCCTGCTTATGCAACCATCTCAGTACACCAGTTTTGGACCCAAAAAAAGCATGCCTCTCTTGCCTCACACACCTGACTCACCTGACCTCGCTCCGTGCAATTTCTTTTTGTTTCCATGAATGCAGAGGGACATGAAAAGACCGTATTTTGACACATAGAACAGGTGAAAAAACAAACAAATGAGAGAGGTGCTGTCAGTCATCTAAACAGATGAGTTTGAAAAATGTTTCTGAGAGTACAATCGCAGATTTGACCAATGTATTAAGTATAATGAAGAGTATTTTGAAGGTAATAAGGTTGCTTGGTAAAAAAATTTAAATACGTAGCTTTTGGGGGAAATTTTCAGTTTTCTTTGGTGTACTCCCTTTTATATATGTTTTCACATATACACATTAAGCTATAGGGAACAGTCATTTAGGGTAGAAACGTGTCTCTAGTGCATAAGGTCATTAGCAACCCAGGTTTCTTATAAAAATGTATTTGCTGATGGTCATTCTCCATCTCTCTCTAGGACTTGTCCTTATGGAAACTAGCTTATCATTTGAGGCTGAATTCTAGCCCAGGGATAAGGGGAGGAAGGGAGTTAAGTCCATAGAAAATACCCATGTACATCTCACTGGCAAGAACGACATTACACACACACACACACACACACACACACACACACACACACACACACGCGTGCGCACGTGCTATGACATGTAGTCCTTAACTGGGCAGTCAAGTTCCTCGCTAAAATTGGGGGTTCTTTTGAAAGGAACAATGAATACTAGGGTATAATTAGACTCTACACAAGAGCAGTGTCTCAACTCCAGCTTTCATTGATTTGGTGCCTGGGCAAGTCATATCCTAAGATAGCCTCAGTCTACACAAGTGAGGAAGTATTAAAACCTGTGTGCCCTAGGGTTGTTTTATGAAATAAAATGGAATAAAAAAGGCAATCCTAAACAAAATAATATAGTAAAGTGGCAAGATGATTATGTCAAAAATCAGAACTTCTGTCTTAGCAGTCAACTTTACTTATTCTCTCTTTACTGGCTCTGATAAAATAAACTGCCTATCAGTAAAGTAAGCAGCAGAGTCTTCTCCAGTCCTGCTTCAGGTGAGGGCCTACCCCAATTGTCACTCATCTACAGAAAGTGTAAGATATTAAACTCTGAGACACTAAAATAAGTATATGCTGTTTTAAGTTACCTAGGTTGTTGGAGTCAAAGAGTTAATGAATTTAACATCTGATCTTTTTACTACATGTTTATCTTGGGGTTCTGTATCAGTGCAGTGTGCCTTCAAGTTGAGTTTGTAGGTAAAATGAAATAGTAACATATGGTTTTTATTTAGTCTTACTTTAGTGCAAACATGAGCCCTAGTGGTGTAGTGGGTTACATGTTGAGCTACTATTGCAAGTGCAGCTGTTTGAAACCACCAGTTGCTCTGCAGGAGAAAAGATGAGGCTCTCTATTTCTGTAAAGATTTAAAGTCTCAGAAACCCATGGGGGCAGTTCAGCACTGTCCTATAGGGTTGCTATGAGTGGGAATTGACTGCATGGCAATGAGTGTGGTTTTTGGTTTGGTTTAGTACAAGGAAGGAGTCCTGGTGGTACTGTCCAATTGCAAGGTTGGTGGTTCAAACCCTCCAGTTGATCTTCTGGAGAAAGTGGAGGCCATCCGAGTGATGGTGGGTTGTAGTGCAAGAAAAGGCTCAGTGATTCAAAAACTACACAAGAAGCAAGTTAAACTGACTATGATAAAGAATTTCTTTTGTGGTTGATAGGAGTTAGAATTGACTCAATGGCAGTGAGTTTAGTTTTTGGGAAATAACGTTGGTTCAATTCTTTCTAAGTGTGGGCAAATATAACAGGACAAAAAGGAGTCCACAAATTGAAACCGTTGTAACAAGGGGAGATTCCTTGTAATCTTCAGATTTTTTTTTCATCTAATACAGCTAAAGAATTAATATTATACATTTATCTGGTGCTTTAGTCAAATGTTCTAAGATCATCTGGCTTATAAATTCATCCAGATTATTGGTAATACAACCCCACACCTTTTCTGCTCTTTCTTCTCTAGAATTAAGTTTCTCACAGATGGAAATGCCACTAATGCTGTGAATATGCCGAGGACAGTATAAGTCATATAACATCACAATGAAAAAAGCTTTAATTTTAGATGAGAATCAGTAACTTGAAGGTTTTCATTGCAAAGGAATTGTTCTATTAGATCCACTGTCATGGAGTCGATTCCAACTCAGAGTAACCCTGCAGAGGGTTTCTGAGTCAGTGAATCTTTATGGGAGGTAGATTGCGCCCTCATTTTTCTCCAGTGGAGGCTGGTGGTTTTGAAACACAGATTTATGGTAAGCAGTCTAACTCTTCCCCAATAGCACCACCAGGGAACCTTAGGAGAAATGTTACCCAAAGATAAATATGTCTATACTATAGACTGAAAAAGCAAACTTTCCTACTAGGTCAGGGGAACAGGAATTTAGACCAATCTGAAGGTAGCCACAGACACTGGGACTCAAACTTGGGTCCCTGCGCTAGTCAAAATCTAATCCATGGATTCGTTTAATTAACATATATTCCTTGAATACAAACTGGGTATTAGGCATTGTCATAAAACAGTAAGCTAAACTTGGTCACTACTTTTCATGCAATTTAAAGCTTGTTAGGGAACTCAGACAAGTAAATAAGGAATGGAGTATGATGTATTGCCATTTGGGGTAAACAAAAGTTGCTATGGCGACACAACTGAAAACCATCCATCAAGGTGGAGGTAGATGTTGTAGTATAGGACTTCTCAGCTGAAGTTGTAGTTCAACCTGGAACTGAAGGATGGTCAGGAGTGATAAAAGTAGAACAAACAAATAAAAGACATATGGGGGTGGTGGTGTTCTATTTATGACACAACAAATAAAATAAAATAAAACACCTAAGAATTATCTTACTAAATGTTTAGGATTATTATTTTGATGAAAGAAATAAAAGAACATTGGAGTAAATAAACATTTCTGGATGTGAAGATTCTGTATGATTAAAATAATTCTCTTTATTTAGTTCTAATAAAAATTCCAAAATTTAAATTTTGAAGCAGTACTTGACAAATTGATTAACAACTTCTGATGGAAGACTAAATGTGTGCACTAAGAAGATTTATGAAAAGTAAAATACTGGTAGAGGGAGGGCTTGTCTTGCCACATATGAAAACATCATAAAACTATATTAAAACAACAGAGAAAGTGAAAAGAAGAGCTTATGGCAATTTTATATGGTAAAATAGGTATGTCAAGTAGGAAAAGACTGAAATTTATTTATTCAACAAATAAAGGTTAAGGTTAGAAAAATGGGCTACTAATCCTGTTAATTCCTACTTCATACTTGGTACTAAATTTCCAAATGGATAAAATATATATACATGAAACTAAAAACACAAACAAAATCTTAAAAGCATTAGGTAAAATTGTAAGGTGCCATTTTAATTAATACTTTGTTGCAGGAACAAGTTTTCTAACCAATGCATGAAACTCAGAACTCAAAGAGTAAAATGACAAATCTGATCATTTAGAAACTATAAAGTTCTGTACATATGGTATGCAATTAACAGCAACGTAATGTCTTAAAAAGACCACGGAGTGAATATTGGTAAGATATCGAAAAGACATGGAACTTATACTAGGGAACAAAAACAAAGAACTTTGAACCAAGTAGGGAGACAATAAGCAACCCCAAAGAAAACTGGGCAAGTAAAGAAAATACAATGGCCAAGAATGTGTAGTTCACTCAACTAAACAATCTAAGATATACATGAACATGAGAAAAAATGATTTAGAGTGGCTTCCATACAAAAATAATTTCTGATAAAATTTACTGTTAACCAGGGTAAACAATAAGCAATCATTGAAATGTTCACCTTTTACATTTTCATTTATTTATCTATTTATTTTTATTATGTTCACAATCTTTTTGGAGGGAAATCTGGCAATGTCCTTTGAGGTTTAAATACCCTTAGCTTTGTTCCAGCACATCATTTTTAAAACACTGTATTCCACTGATACAATTAACTTCATAAAAATTCTATTAAACTTAGGAAAGGCATAACAGAAGAACTATGCAACCACTAAAAATAGAGGTAGACGTAGATATATAAAGATGCTCAAGACGTGTAAAATGAACAAAGCAAACTGCAGGATGTACATATTTTGTAAGTACAAATAATAAAATTATTTTATGTAGAGAATAATGAGCTGTTGGCAATGGTTATTTTGATGGTGGGTAGGACATACAAATAATATTTAATACACATTATGATGTGCCAAGCAGTGCTCTAGATGATGGTGATTAAAGATTGAATAAAAATTAAGATGAGTAAATGGTGAATGTTCATTTTCTAGGTTCTATATTTCTACAAGTTATGACCTTTATATTTTTTCTTTAAAAAAGAAATCTCCAGCTCTGTACTCAAGCTAAATGTGCCAACAAAGTCAAGTCTGCTTTTGAAGAAAACTTGGTCCCCCATTCCTCCTGCCTGTGATAAAATATAATGTCATAGTATATAATACAACATTTCTGTCCCCAAAAAGATGATGGGGACCCCTCCCCCCAAAAAGAAATCTCGTCAGTTTTGACTTTAAAAAATTAAGCTTTATGACACTCATGAATAAAATTTTTACAATCTAAACCAATTTACTTTATCAATCTCTTAAAAATTGATCACTGGCATATTTAAAAATATCTTTTGCTAAAATTAATATGTAACCATCAACACATTTTAATACCTTCAACTGTAATTTTTTCAGCTTTAAAAGTTCTCAGTAGCTTTAATAATATCTGATTTGTACCCATTATAACACAATCGTTTACTTACAGCTTGTGGATTAATCTCTTCCTCTCCCATAGGTTCATCCATAATTTGCTGTCCATTCTGTGAAAAGCACAGCAATAAAAAGTTACCAAAACAAGATCTCACATCAGTTACTTAAATTAAAGCAGACAAAAACAAAAACAAACAAACCAACAAAAAACAAGGTCTCTAAAGAAGTGAAACCAACATACAAGGATAGAGTTGCCAATTTACAATAGGTTGTGCTTCCAAAAGTAATCTATACATTATTTATTTGAAACTATGAAAGCAATTTTCCACGGAAATAATAAATGATGATTACCTTCCCAGGTGAGCTCATTCATGAAGTTATTTGAATAGTCAAATACATTACAAATGGCTTTATTTAAACCTCACCAAACCATCATTTACAGCACTTTCCATGGCAAATAACATTTTCAATTCCAGCTCCACTCCTATTTAATCAGGGCAACTGATGGATTACTTGAGGAAAAAATTAAGCTAGCTCTCTAAATTCCAGATGAATTAACATTTAAGTGTTTTACTATACATAGGCATAAATAATCCTCATGGGGAGAGGAGGATGAAAATCATAACGGAAAACATGGAATTTGTATCATTAAACTTTTAAAAGTTCTTCTAGAAGACACAAAAGATAAACTGATTACAAAAGCAACATGACAAAGGGTTGATATCCTCAATACATAAAGGACTTTTTTTTTTTACAAACCTGTAAGAAAAAACGATGAACCTCAAAGAAATAAGCAATAAGGGAAAAAAAGAGTTCACCCTTAGTACTAATAAAAGAGATGCATATAACCAAAAGATACCTGTTGCCTTTCATATTGGTAATTAGTTAACAAAAAAGTTAACACCCAGTGTTAATGTGGGTATAGGGCATTGAGCACTCTGGATACACTGCTGGTGAAAGGGTAAATCAGCACCACCTTTCTGGAATGCAATCTGAGTCTGTATTTAAGAAAAAGAAGACACATAAAACTTGGAATGGCCCATCAATGAATTTTTCTAAGTGTACAAAGATGTATATATATGAATGCTCACCACAGCTTTAAAAAATTACTCCAATTTGGAAACCTAAATTCCTAATAAGTAGAGAACTAGTTAAAGATATTACAGTACATCCATAGAACGTAATACTAAGCAGTCATTAAAAATGACATTAAAGATGTAAATTTATTGACATGGAAAGACAGTTACATGTAATAAATGAAAAAGCAGTTTACAAAACAATATGGATTATAATGGTCCCATTTAAGGTAAATATATACATGTTCTAATGTATATATTTGTATGGGAAAAACTCTGGAAGGATATACACCAAAATGTCTACAGTGGCTATCTCTGGGTGGTAGTTTATTTTGGTTTATCTGAATTTTCTACTGTGTCTACAATAAATGTATTACTAGTGTACTTAAAAATATTACTTAGAAGTCAGAAACATAAAGTGTTTTCAGTAGTTCCTTCCAGGAATAAGTATATGTCCTCGACCACATGTTTATTCAACAAGTGCTCCAAGATCTAAGCTAATCATCTTTAGAGTCTTAACAACTCAAAAGTAAAAGGTAGCCCACCAACCACCCTATACCTCCCCCCAAAAGTAGCTACTCTCAAGTGGAATCCTACCATCTATCTACTCTCCCATTCCCTAATGAACTATCCATCCATCCACCCACCCACCCACCCTTCCTTCCTTCCTTCCTTCCCTCCCTTCACTCATCCATCCATCCATCCATCCATCTTATTTCATACATACTATATTCTAGGTACTGATTTGTAGATGAATCTGCAGTCTAGTGGTCCACATAAAAGGCACCTTTCATTTTCACCCACTCATAAAAGATGTTCCTCCTAGGTAAGGGAATGCCTACAATACTACAAAGCACAGGAATGATACCAGATGCAGATAGGAGGGGGATGCACGTGTAAAATCTATAGTTCCCCACAACTCTTCCAGAGGTTCCATTAGCACCCGCTTTTAATGATAAAGACATCCACATATCTCCAGAATACATCCTCTCCTAAGTCACAATCATTTATTGAATTGACTACTCATCATCATTTTTATACAAATGTTTCAGAAAAACCTCAAAAGTAGCTCTCAAAATCACTGGCTTTGGAGTCACACCATTCATTGCCTGCTTTTACACTACAAGGCCTCAAACAAGTTTGTAAATGATCTAATCTAAGCTTCAATTTCTTCATGTAAGGGTTTAAAAGGTCTTATCTGACAGTTCCTGTGCAGATTTAAAAGAGTTAAACTATTTTAAACCACTAACCATTGTGCCTGACACTCCATAAGCACTTTTGTTCCATGTCAGCTAATTTTATATCCAAAATCCAATCGTCCCACTTTTGGCCTATAAACCAGCTACTTTTGTATTTACATCATCATTCATCCAGTAGCCCAAGCTAGATTTTCTCATAAATTGTAAGCAGAATTACCTGTACCTAACAAAGATCTGCTTAATGGCTCCATGGCTTTCCAAACCTTGGTCCTAACTTTACTATTCCTAGTTTTTTCCTGGAAACCACCTGCTGCTCCCAGTGATTTCCAATGTATGTGAGGCAAATGTTCCACAAAAATGCTCAAAGCAAACTGGTTCAGTAGAAACAGCACTGACTCTATGAGTTGGAAGACCAGAGCAGAGTCCTAAGTATGCCACTTAAAAGCTTTGTAATTCCAGACCATTCAGAGATACTCCTGTCCTATTATTTATATGCTAAAATTGAAACACTTGCCTTGCCTGCCACAAAGGGTTACTGTTAAGTTCAAATCTGAAACAACTTTTGAGAGCTCTTTCTTAACGGTTAACCTGTGCCAATGCAAATTAAAGTGAGAGATCTTCATGAAGATGAAAGATACTCCATATAGTTCTTTTGATTATATATATATATATACACACACACACACACACTGATAAGAGACCTTGAAAGTTTTCTGTTCCAACTACATGCCATCTACTTCACCTCTTCCTATAGCATCCTCACCCACACTTGAATATTTCAAGACAAAAGTGTCCTACTTCACCAGGAATTCAACCATGAAATCTCTGAGAAAGCACTACCTGCTAAGCATAATTCATTATCTATTAAGTTCCCTCAACCACAAATTCCCATGAAAAGATACTGAGACAATGGTGCTTTAAAAAATTCCAGGGGGTGGGGGTGGAATCCCATTATCTTTTAACTCCATTTCCCATGAACTTCTTAGGCCCCCCTTGTCTATATTAACTTGCTTGTACTCTAACTGAAAAGTCATAGGAAGTCAAAATACATCTATGACTATAAACTACTCCAAGTCTTTGGTAGATAACTCAAGATCCTTATAACATAAAGGCAGAAGGCACCTGCCATTAGTCTTTTTTTCTGAGAGCATGTTAAGAGGGGGTTGGTATACAGAATTGTATGTAATCAACATTCCAACTGTGATATAACCAATGCAAAAAAAAGTACAGGTCAGCTCACCTCACTTTCCCTCTAGAATTCAGTTTTACTAATGCAATTCCAGTTAGGAAAGCCTACAATAAACTGCTGACTCACACTAAAGTTTCTGCTGATGAAATCCTTGCCTTCTTTACTTACATTCCAACTAAGCCAAGCAGTTTCTATCCAACACTTGTTATTACTTTTTGTACTCAAGAGTAAAGCCTTATTTTAAATTTCCAGTAAATTCTTCCCCAGTTGTAATACCAAAAATGTCCCCAGCTCTAGCACCAATACTACAGCCTATAAATTGGATTCCAAATTTTGTCAGTTTGCCTCTTCACTATTTTTAGCTTTGACACCCAATATTTCACAATATATTCTTTTCTGAACTCCTCACCTGGCTAATCAACAATATGTACCAACAAAGCAGTCTAAGAAGACAGAAAAAAAAAGCAGTGTGTGTGACATGATCTCAAAGGTAGTATAAGCTGCACATTTTGCAAAAATACTTGAGTTCGTTTCTGAGTTTGTAGGAATGAGTAGGAATGAGTTCCACTTTGAATTTAATTTTAAAGCAGGAAAAGATGAAAGTCAATGTTGTTCTATGTTATCAGTGAAGCTTTGTAACCATCTACTCCACCTTTACTTCAACAAATGTTTATCATTTCATAAAAACAAGGACCCAAGTAATCTCTATTAGAAATAAGCATGAAGTTACTTCTGCAGTTAAGAAAATTTCCCTTGTGAAAAATGACCAGTTTTACTAGGATACATGAAGCATCCATCTGACTTAACGGTAACAGGCCCTTTCTATAGGTCCAAACTTTTAAAGATACAAGTAGAAAAAAATGTGCTCTTGAATTGGACAGTAGTGGGATTAAGCCCTGCCACTTACTGGTGTAATTAGCTGAAAATTGAGTAAGTAGTTCTGAGCCTCAGTTTGAATTTCTAAGATGCATCTAAGTAATACCTATACCTCATGGGATGTTATAATTAAAAATGATTCACCAAGGGACAGTATATGCTCAGTAAATGGTAGTTCTCTTCCCTTCTTTTGCCTCAATTAACTGGGTACATTTTACAGATAATTTCTAAACAATGCATTGTCATGAAGGCTCGCTGGAGATCAGTGAGACACCCATTTCGTCACTTACTACAGCCAATTTCCCGCCAAGCAGGATGGAAGAGATCATTCAAATATGTGGCATACTTTTTTACAATGTGGCGAAGAATGAGATGGAAAAAATTGGTCTCAAAGTGAGGCAAATATATTTATCCTCTCTCATCCCACCATAATGCCTTCCAGCCAAAAAACTGCAGAGCTTGGCAGATTGTACATATGCAAATAGGATGTGAAATACTGGAAAAGGTTAGGAAATGCTAATCATACTTTGTTAGTCTGAAATGTGTAAAAAGTCACAAATGAGAATAACCTACAATATGGGTCTCATCAGAACAAATCAGATCAAAGAGATTGTTAAGGAGCTTGAGTACCAGCAGGAATTGTTTTCATACAACTTTCAATGTTGCTACGTAAAATTAGCACTTAAGATCTTTAGAGAGGAAGAACGATTAAATCACTAATTCTGAAAAAAGGTTTCAGGACCTCTAGAGAATTTTTCCGAATTCCAGAAAAATTCTGAAATGTTAAAAATAAGAACAGTCTTGATTTTAAATCATTTTCAATTTAAGAAACCCTATTAAAACAGACTGTTATGTTGTAATGGCATGTTCTAACAATGCACATTTCCAGGCTGCTGTCTGATATGCCTGAAGAAAATAGAAAATAAGTTTAAAAAAATGTTTTGAATTCCGCAGGATATCATCATGGGCAAGTATAGGACTAAAATCCTCTGCTGCTGATAAAACGCTCCCTTGAATTTAGTAGGACATATGATCCAGTAAGTCTTCTACTTAGAAATTTATATATGAACACTGGAAAAAAATGAATTCCTTGCATAAAGTAACAGTCTGAACTAACTAGGAAAGGAGGAGGAAGGGGGGTGGGGGGAAGGGTCCAGAGTCCTAGTGTAATAATTTGGAGACCCAGGTTGTAGGAATGAACAAGAACCACACTTTTTCTTTTTCAATCACCCTCAAGTTTCCACAAGTTTATGTGCCTTAAAGTATCCCTGTTAGTAAGTGGTTTTCCTGCCCAAAGTTTATGGAATGGGAGTACCATGAAGGTGTTGAGTGTAAGGCATTAGAGACCTTACTCTCAAACGTGAATTAAGATACAATCAAATTGTTCAGAGTCTAAAGAATCTTCTATGCAATCACATTGAAACAATCAGAAACAAGCATTTTATATTCTTAATAAGGAATGCATATAATCCTTACCAATGTGACAGGATTAAGAATCAGCTCCTCATTTATCCTAAGGAAATATCAGAGATGTGCATAAAGACTTATGTACAGTGATATTCATCATACTCATTATACTGAAAAATAGAAAACAATCTAAATGACCAACAGGGGACTTGTTAATAAATCAAAATACATCTATTCATCTGTAGGAATACTATGCAATGGTTAAAATTAGGGCCTCAAAGAAAATTACTGATGCAAAGGTATGCTTGCAATATTTTAAAAGGCTATAAAACTATATAGTTTGACCCCAATTTGCAGCCCCCCTCCCCACCATGTGTGCATGTGACTGGTAAAACATATAAAATCTTTATCAGTAGTTACCTGTGTTTTAGGATTTTCTTCTCTGTACTGTATTTTCAAAATCATATGCATTTATTATGTATTAGTTTTATAAAGAGAAAATAAAAGTAATTAGGAAAATCCATTTATTTTAGTTAAGGAACCGTTACACCTACTTTACTGTTTCTCTAGCTACTAACGGCCTGCTAGCACCCGAGCTATTTTCTGGGCTAGGGTAGGGATGACCTCTAGTTATAGCTCCATTTTAAGTTTAAGAGGACCTTCTTAGAAGCTTTTATTCACACACTGGTCCTGTGGCTGTGGCCTGAGAGAATTCAATTAAGTTTTAGGCCTGAACCCATCTTGTGTTTTTTTTGGAGTGTACCCCCCCAAGGGGAATTTTGCTTGTGAAACAAAAGAGTATGTTGAGATAATAAAGAAATGAAAACACAGTAGCCAAAAATTAAGTCTGCATTGTGACTAGCAAGTATTAGAATTGACACAGCAGAAAACAGAATCCATGCCACAGAGGACAAACTTGGTAAATTAAAAAAAATGAAGAAAGATTAAAAAATCATGGAGGACAGACATAGAAATAATCTATGAATAACAGATGTTCCTAGAAGAAAAAAAACAAAACAAAACAGCAATTTAATCAGCAAAAGTATAAGAGAAAACTTTCCAGTTCTGAAAAAAAAATACCTGAGACTGGAGACTGAGAAGGTTCAACAGAGATCATCAACACCAAGATTTGTCCTGGCAAATGTTTTTAAATTTCAAGGATAAAGATATAATCCTACAAGCATACAAGCAGAAAAAAATAGGTTATTTTCAAAGTAACTAAAATCAGATTGACCTCAGATTTCTCCGAAACAATTAAATGCCAGAAGACAACAAAGTAATGACTTTCACAGAGTGGAAAGGGAAAAGTTATGATCTAAGAATTTTATTTATACTCCGTCATAGTTTTTTTTCCATATACAAAGGTCATAGGAAATTAGATCTGTAGTCTTACAAAGTTTCACCATCCTGGTAATATCCTTTTTCATAAATTGTTCAAAGATAAGCCCTGTACCACCAAGAGAGAATCAAAATAAGAGCTCAAGAATATTGCAGTAGGAAAGAACTGGCAAAAGTATACCGACATCAAGTTAATACCTAGAAATAAGAAGGGGAAAAAATTAACTTCACTGAAGGAAAAAGGGTCAATATCAAGGAACTGATCCAAACCCACTGCCTTCGAGTTGATTCTGACTTGTAGAGACCCTGTAAAATAGAGTGTCACTGCCCCATAAGGTTTCCAAGGTGATAAAATCTTTATGGATGCAGACGGTCACATTTTTCTCTTAGAAAGTACCTTGTGCGTATGAACCCAGACCTTTCAGTTAGCAGAGAAGTGTATAAACACCATGCCACCAGGGCTCTGGAATAACTGTGATACACATGTAAACAAGATAAAAGAAACACACTTTAAAAATTAAAGGTTATATTTGTAACCTCGGGAGACATTAATGTGGACTCAAAAGAGGTAGTGGAAGAAGGGAGAAGCAAAGATTCTAAATTCTGTCTCTTAAAAGGACATTTTAAAACTATTGTTTTTAGTGGTAATTTTTCAATAACAACCAATTTAGGGCTATTAAAAACACACACACAATACCCAAGAATGGAATTTTATTATAGTCAGTATTACAAAAGAAGATATTAACTGGTAGAGGCCATGAATAAGACTTTATCCACTTATCACATTCAACTCTTAAGAACATGATAAATGAAGCCTGTTGTACAGATGCGGAAACCAAGGCTCAGCAAAGTTAGTGAAGAGCAGAACCAGGATTTAAACCTGGGTCTTCCTAATCTCCTTAATTCGCTTAATTTTTACAGCTTCCTTAAACAAAACTATCCATATGCAAAGGGGGAAGAAAAGGAAAGAATAAAGTTTAAGATGAACCATCACTCCAAAAGTAAAAATGTAAGAAATGCAAAGTTAGTAAACTAATTAAAAGAAAATGTGATAGTACAGAATTATTGGTGCTTGGTGGTTACATGTTTTTTAAAAATCTTTTAGGAAATAGAAACTCAAAATATTTATATTTGAATTGATTTAAGTAGGATTAATTTCAAAATAATTACTGGAGCCTAAGACAGAGGTGTGTGTGTGTGTGTGTGTGTGTGTGTGTGTGTGATTGAGACTGGCTTATGGAAATACAGTTACTTATACTACTTAGTCTTTATTCTGGCATGTGTTTGCAATACTTGTTAATATTAAAGTATAATAATATACTGCTTAAATAAAAACAAAACAGATAGGTATAGAACAGTTCAAAGAAAAGGAAAGCAAGTGTTGGCAATATTACTGCCCCAAATAAAATGTAAGGCAAATACGTTAAACCAATGAAAAACCTGAGTTTTACCACAGGCCAGACAAATGCCAAGCACGCTCGCTATCATCTTTGCAGCTTCTAATAATCTGTGAGGCATTATCACTCGTTTACAAGTGAGAAAATAAGGACAGATTGTATATGTTGGATTCTGTTTTAAGTGTTGTATTCTTTAACCCAAGTCCACCCTATCAGAACAGGCAGGGCAGAAACTGCAGCCTGGTTTCCAAGGCTGTGAATCTCTATAGAAGCAGGCTGCCCACCTTGCTTTCGTGGGGCGGTACCACTTTACTGTTAGCAGTCCAACAGTTAGCCCACTGTGCCAAACAGGGCTCCTAAGTCCCCCCAAAAATGTGCATTTCAATAAGTATTTGTTGAATAAATGAAAAGTCTAATATTGTGCTCCAGGGGAATAAGTAGCAGAGCCCAAATCCAATCTGATTATGAAAGCCATATTCCTAAATCACACACAAATCTTTTAGTACTGTACTTTCATAGCCAGGGTCTAGACGTTTCCTTCTGTGTATGCTTCGTTACCATTCAGGTTTTTGTCCAATTGACAAGCATTATTTTTTCAAACAGAAACATCATTAAAATAGTGAATGCATGATAGTATTAAACATTTAACCACAGAATAATTGAACCACCGAAACATAAAAGCAGATGGTTTGGGTACTATCAAATGAAATAAATGGAAGGGGAATTTTTAAAACATCCAAGTCACTCATGTTAATTAAACCCCACCCCCACCCC